TCCAGTCTCAGGGGTTCTTCCTCTTCCACAGACAAACCATCTGGACCCCACAATGTCAGTACTGATTATACTTTACTTATATCAGAAACACTTTACACTTCTAAAAGCACACTCTTACCAGGTAAAGAATGTAAATTTCACAACTAATTGTATTTTGATCGTGTGTATATATTGTACAGTTTTTGAAGGTCTCAGACTAGTGGTTAATGTGCTGTAAAGTACCAATATGTTAAGGAAAGAAGGTGAAAATTGTTTCTTTTTTTCAATTAGCAGAAAAGGGAGAGATTTCAAAATCAATATTTGATGCGGCCACCGTTTGCCATCTTAACTGCATCATCGCTTCTTTATTTATAAAGGACATAGGAAAAATGATTTCACAATGGCCACTTGTGTTACAGCGTGAAGGTAGAGAGCCCCCAGCGCCCCCTGTTGACTAGCACCAGTGACAGTCTACCAACACTGCTCCATCTGATCCGACTGCAGCAGCACAGCTCTGGACTGTGACCAAGACAGATCTCCCGTTCTGTCAGTCTTTACAAACACAATTTTTTTTAAAACATTTTTGTTTCCCTGATGCCACACTTTATTTGGTCTATCTGTATTTGATTTTTATCGGTGGAGTGTGAAGGTGCACTGTGTGGAGTTTCTGACACATCAGATGGTGAAGTTCCACAGCCTGGCTGTAAGCCACTCACTTCACCATCTGTGTCCAGTGATGAATATTTGCACATTGATATTACGCAGTGCACCTTTGACTGAGGTTGGACCACTTATTGGACATGTTATTTGTTGAACATTTCACAATTCCCACAAAATTACATTGAATTAAAAAACTACTTGAACAAATGACACAGACTTTCTATATATCTGCCATATCAGGTTCTAACCACAATCAGGAGTTTGGGGTGAATTGCTCTGAGTTTGTCACTGATCTCAGCTCACGAATATCTGTCAGATATTGGCAAGCAGTGTGATGTAGCAGAGCTTCTTTAGATGGAAAATTGCTGTTCTAAAATGTGTTTATTTTTCAGGGTCACAGGTCAAAGTGTGGTTTAATACTACATGTGTGTAACATCTCACATTACAGTGACAGAAATTCTGTATTGGTATTTAGTTCTAGGATTTTTGTCCACCTCACCATCACGTTTGTCTTGACAGAAATAATTATTTAGAGTAATTGCATCCAGATTACATATTCCACAGAAAACTGACTAAACAGACCAAATTGTGCAATCGTGTGCAATATCAAACACACACATTTCCAGCCAACTTGACATTCACACTGGGCCCATGCACTAATGTGTGGAAGCTCTAGGTGTGTAATAATGAGCTTCATTATCTGTTGATAAGATGGTTACAGTTGATTTTAAGCTGCTACAAACAACAACATAAAAGCAGAAAGACTGGACCAAAGCATCAGTGATTTACAGTTGAATCAACATGCTCTTGTACAAACTGTAAACAAAAGCTTTGTGAAAGTAATTAGGGGAAAAAATCCTTCCTTGCACATTAACAAATGGTACAAAGGAAACTAGTTGTATTAGTATAAAGGTGACACTGGTATACAGCTGTTTTCCTGAAAAAGAAAGTGATTTTGGTTGATGGTTGTAGTAGTATCTGTACTAGAGGATGAAGTCTGATCAGCACTCTTATGTAGTAGCCTATAACCTTAGAGGTTTTCTCTAAAGGCTGTACGGATTAAGCCGTCTATGAGTAAGGGTCAGAGGTTACAGCAGTGTACTTACCAAGAGATCTCAAGGTTATACTTCATGTCTTATATGTAGAACCATTTAAACGTGTTATAACCAGTGCCAATGTATTTAATTACTCTAGTCTTAATTGTCTTTAATTCCTTTATGAATAACCAGCAGTATGTGTGACTATATTCATTTTAGATTAGTGTTAGCAAACCAACCTGAAACGCCGCCTGTGTAATACTTCCTGTTCCCTAATCATTTGTACCTTTATGTGTCAGGGTGTTCATAATTCAATTAATAATTGATATCTGTGATTGACAGCTTTTTAAATCCTCAAACATACAGGAAGTAAATTTGGTATCGCTCACTCTTATTGTGTGAGGGGCATCTTAGTCTCAGTCACTCCTTCAATGTTCCTGATGTCATATCATAAGCATGTTTTTACTGTGGACATGATGGCAAGAACTGTGGAAAAACAAATTCTAATTGCTGTCTATACTTTAATTTTAATATCAACAAAATGTCCTGCAGTCTCCTTCTTTGTGAAGTTGAATTTCACAGGCAGGACATGGAGGAACATAATTAAAATGAATAAAAGGGGGGAAGCCATGCTAAATGGGTGAGGTAAACAACCGGTGTTTGGGATGTAGAAGACCTTGATTGTTATTATTTTTTAAAAAGGGCTTCAACTATGCACTTTTCCTATAACAAGAATAATAAATAAAAACCTCAAATAGTCGAACTTCCTGGTTTCCTCTGTTTCTTTGTATTTCATCATAATATAGCAGCAGAAACGCACTTGTAAAATTAGTTTTGTGTCCGTGTCACGGATCTGGTAGAAGTTCCTTTTCCAAAAAAAAAAAAAAGATTGGGCATGCGCAGACTTCAACTTGGGTTTCCCTGGGTAACCGTCAACTACTATGTTGCTACAGCAGCTTGGTCAGTGCTTTTCACTTCATTCTTAAATCGCATACCTTTTAGCTGTATTTTTTATGAAACGTTGAGCATCAGTACACCACTGAGTGTTTTTTCAGTAGCTCTAATCCTAGACAGCAGTAATGGCAGCACCATGAGCGCGATAACTATTTACTTGCAACGATGAGATTAGCGAACGGTGGCTAATGCTAATGCTAGTAAACAGTAAAACCAGAGGAAGGCGGTCAAAGTTCCAAGGATGACGAACCAAGAGGTCAGAACTCTGGCTTATACAAAAAGCCCCAAAACATCCAAAAGAACAACATTTCAGGTAATGTCTTTTTATATAGTAATGCTATTGTGTGTTTTGTTTATAACGTGAGGGCATTTGTTGTTGTTTGGTAATGTTTTTAAATCTGTAGTGATGTCATTGCAGGATGAACTTGAGGCTGCCGTCTCAGCCAGAGTGAGCAGAACCAAACCTGACCCCTTCTCTTATTCCGATGACTTTGATGAAGAAGAAGATGGTGAGATGGCTTGAATGCTGTCAACTTTACTTTGTTTCACATTAGTTTTATGTAAAAGATGTGACAGATCTGAGAAATTGTTCAGTAACTTTTGCTTCAAAGTTGCACCAGGTTTAATGTGTTCATAACTTCATCAGTTGAATTGATAATTACTGATGTCAACAACTCTTTTTTTTAAACAGATTTCTTAAGCACATTTCTCAAGTCAAGGAAGAAGAGAGCCGATGCATTTAGATCTGGGAAAACAAGAGGCAAAATCAATACCTTTGACCTTTCAGATGATGAAGACAAACCTGAAAAGACGAAGAAAGTCTCATTCCTGAAAACTCAGAAAGTCACCTTTACCAAAGAAGAGACTTCAGATTCACAGGAATATGAGCCACCAGACTCATCACACATTGGTCATAACAATGAAGACAAATTACAAAAAGCTTCTGATAACAGCGAATGTGACACACAAAGTAAAAACAGTGGTACTGATCACATTGGTCCACAAATTCCAACAGAGAGCTCAAGTAAATCCCATTCAGTCTCCCCCTCAGACAGCACTCTGGATTTACCTTTTGACAGCAGTGTGACCAAAGCCCCAGATCAAGAGGAGAACACTGGTCATCCATCTGTGCCTGACCCCCACCATGTGACACCAGCAGGTTGGTTCACACACTTTCTAAAGTTACAATTGTTTCCCTTACAGCACTAATGTAAAACTGTTGGTATATTACAGAAAGCAAATATGAGAGACAGCCCAGACCCAAACCAAGGCAAAGGTCTCTTGCATTAAGCAAGCACACCACAGAGGATTTTCTGGAGGACGCTGGACCTCCAGTCCTCAGCAGGTCCCAGACCTCCTCTGCTTCCATTCACCTTTCCACTGATGTGTCCAGCACCACAGCAGCAAGGAGCAGCAGTCCTCATGTAGGTCTGACTATTTGGTTTTCAACATTTACTTTGTGCAGTGTTAATTCAGGCTTCTGCCTGTGCTCTGTCTTTGCAGTGGACAGAAGATGATCAAACTGCTTCAAACAGCCTCGGCAGATCGCCTTTGAGTAAGAGTGAGCAGTCGCTCACCAGGTCTACTATAGATTCTGCTTCTTCAGGTACTGTGCTGCAGTTTTTAACAAATTAACATACTTAGGTTAATGAATTTATCGCCCTGATATTTAATTTCTCATTCAGCTCACTTAATCTCCGAAGACGGCAATGAGCAGGTGAGGAACAGAGCTCATAAAACAGAATTTTAAAAAAAGTAATACAATAGCTCATTATCTTTACATTGGGTTAATCTGAAATAAAAAAAACAAACTCAGCTTTTTTCTCTTCTCTTTTTAGGAAAATGTGGAAGATCATTCACTTCATTCTGTTGATCAACTGTCTCAAACTCAGGAAAAATCAGCCGATACCAAGTAGGTCAAATCAATCTCTCCACATGAGTAAAACAGGATAATAACCTGCAAATAACTAACATACTAATGGAAATTATATATAATGTAGGGGCACTCATCTAAAAACCACTCAGAGATCTCAGAGTGCCTGCTCCAAAAGAGTGGAATCAAGGTACCTGGGAACACTCCAAATTCTAGATCGTAAGGTTTCACTCCAGGAGTCTGAGCCACAAGGTGCAGAGTCTCTCAGAGCTGCAATTTACCAGGTCAGTGTAGTATTAGGTTTGAATGTAAATAGCCATGTAAATAGCGTTGTTTTTACGTATCAAGCACAAACAATGTCCGTCTAAAAAGCTGTTAAGGAGTATTTTAACCTTTGCTTCAACCCTAACATCATTTTTATGACTGTATATATCTGCACCCTGAACAGGAATGGCTGAAAAAGAAAAAAGAGAAGTCAAAAGAGAAAATGGAACTAAAGAAGAAGGAAGAACTCTTGCAAGAAAAAAAGAAAAAGGTGATTTTTTTCAAAAGGAAAAAAAAATAACAGCAACATGTGAGTAGTGGCTTGGTGGTTAAAGAAGTGGACAAAAGGTTTCAGGTTTGAGTCCACCAGCTGCCACGTTACCACTGTATGGCACCCTGGGTGCTTAAGCTGCCCCCTGCTCACTCTGGTGATGGGTTAAAAGCAGAGATCACACTTTGTTGTGTGCTCTGTCAAAATGACAAATAATTCACTTTTTCTTACAAACACTCAGGATGCAGAAGCAAAAAAAGAAGATGCTGTTGCGTCATACGAGGCGTGGAAAGAAAAGAAAATGGAGAATCTCAAAGCAAAAGCTAAAGAAAAGCAAGACATGGCCAGGAAAGAGCAGCAAGCCAGTGAAGAGAAAACAGAAAGAAGGCAGTCTGCCAAACAGGCATGCCATTCATACATTGATTTAAGTTTGTTACTGTCTTTATTTCTGTGTGATGGACATAAATGATCGTTTGTCATTTACAAATCGTTGCAGATGTTTGAAAAGTGGAAAAAGGAGACTGATCACGTTCTCAAAGAAAAACACCAAAAACAGAAAGATGCTGAAAATAAACTGAGGCTTAAAAAGCAGCGAAAGGAGGAAGAAAGAAGAAGAGAGTGTGTGTCTGCTTTTACTCACTGGTAGGTATAAACCCATGTTTTTTAAAAATGCATTGACTTTTTTCCCTAATGTATTACATTTTTGTTATTTATGATCACTATGGAAATTGTTGAATAGCCTTGATTTCTCCATCTTATCAACATTAGAAAATATCGTCAGCTATAAATAAAACACGAAATAAATGTAGTTTGTTTACAGTTCTAAAAGCTATTTTTTCCTGTCTTTCAGGAATTAAACACTTGTAAAGTGAGTATGTTTTAGACTTAATCCAGAATGATGGGCCTACATAATACTCTGAGATTAGTGTGCACTTTAAAGGCCATTAATAAAATTACACTATATAACATTATTGTGGAATTATTTCGAATAAATCTTATACAAATCAAATACCATTACAAAAAAATGTATTTACTGCAGTCTTGGGAAGTGTGACAGTCATTCTCTCATTCTCTAAACAGAAATGCCGAAGATGACAAACACTTCGATGCAATGAACTGTATAGAGATGTTTAACCACTAGGTGGCAGCCAAAGTTGACTTTTTCCACGCCTCAACGTATCACATTATGCATTTAGTAATTTGTAACGTATTGTTTTTTTCTAAATTGATGAAAGGAGCGAAAAGAAAACAGATAGTCTCATTGAAAAGGCTTCAAAGGAGCGCAAAGAACTGAGAAATAAGTCCGAGGAGGAACAGTACATGAAAGAGGATAGAGAGAAGATGGCTTTTGACGTTTATGAGAATTGGCTGGTAAGAAGAAAAGATTATTAATATCACCTACATACTGCACATGGTTTTATTAAGCAGTTTTTGTTTTTTTTTAATTTGCATTAGCTTGCTTTCTATTATATTTTAATCTGTCTGTCTTCCTTATTATTTTGATAAACAATAGAAAGTATTTATTTTGTCTAACAGGCAAGAAAAGAACTAGAATACAAGAGACAGAGGGAAGAGAGGAGGATAAAAGCAATTCTTGGAGACAGTCCACCACCACCATGGAGCCCTCCAAACAAAACTGTAGGATTTAGAAAATAATACTTCAAATGTTCAGTAACTGTTCATGCTATGTTGCAACGTGAGCTATGTTTAGCTCACGTTTCATTTGTATTGTATTGTATTGTTGTTGGGCATATATTCGTCACCAGGTTAACTAACAGTTATAGTTCAGGTTTACAGGTGTTTTTGTTGTTTTTTTACTGTACAGAAAGTAGGACACCATACAGTATATGATGACATTCTTACATTTAACTGTGTATATATTTATATTTTATAGCCCAAAAAAGTGTGCGTTGTTTGTTGATGAACTTATTTTCTTAAAAATTACACATTCTTCTCAGCAGATTAAAAAACTTTTTTTTTCAATTATTATTACATATCCTTACTCATAGTCCAAATCATTGACTTATTATCACTTGTAACGAAACAAAACAATTCATATACTTGATGGGTTCAGCAATGGGTTATAAAAGAGAGAGTTACATGTTGGTTAACAGTGTAATGAACTTACATTCAATACTAATATCTGAGAGGATTTAGCCTTTGACATACCTCTAGGTCTATTACTACTCTACAACTAGTGAGTAAACTAAAATATGAGTAAGATTTACATTATTTTGAGGTTTTATGGCGTATTTGACAATCGGGGAATTAACTGTATGTCAGCACAAAATTGGCTTAGTCACGTTGCAACATCTGAAAGATTAATCAGTGTTGTTAAATACCAATTCTACAAAGAGACTACATTTTTAAAAAATCCAAGTGTGCAAAATCCACGTTTCGGCTCTACTCTCAAACCCAGGTATGAATTTTGTACATAATGTTTTACCAGCTGCAAAAATAATGTCTAGTAGGGGCTAATGTCCGCTGCAAACCAAGCTAATTGTATTCCACTATTTAAGCATAGCCTTAAAATAGTAAAACTATCATTCAAAGCGATTAGGTCATTCCGTAGTATTATCACTTCAGACCAAAGAAACACCAGCTCAAGCCTGCTTAGATTCAATAGTAATGTGGAGGTCAGATATATACACATATGAATTTAATATTTATTCGCCCTCGTTTAGAAATGCGGAGTGTTTTAATGCTTTTGTTTTGAAAGTACCACAGCGGAAGCAGAGCCGGTGGACGTGGCTGCTGATGGTCTTCTAAGAATGCTTCACAGGAGGTAAAGGTGGTGCCAAAGAGAAGTTGTGGGAGTCGTCAGTAGTTGTTAAAGCGCTGATTCACAGTGACTTTTACGGATTTATAGATTTATAGTTGGATTCACAGTGACTTTTACGGATTTATAGTTGGAACAACGGCGACACCTTCTCACTCAGCGTTTGTCTTGACGAGGCACAAGTAGTGACTTCCTTCCTGCGTTTATCCTGAAGCTGTTGAGAGTCGAGTTGGCAGAGGTTGGTAGAGATTCATTAGCCGCTAGGCTACAGCTGCACACATACACACTCATTCATTTTTTTTCTCTCTCCAGCGGTGCGAGTTTTACACTGAACAGAAATGGTATTTTTCTTTACTATCCGGGTGATGATTCTGTGTGCGAGTTTAAGTCAGACCTGAATGGGCCGCTGTGCTGAAATGCCGTAGCTGAAACCTACATTTAAGTAAATAGTTATTTAACATTCTCCAGGTTGGACGTGGCTGAGCTGCTGTGAATAGAGCTTTTATTTGAACGGCTATAACGGTGCAGCTGGTGACCACCACCTCAGACCATTCATTCTGGTTGAATATCTCTAAACAATAATAACCACTCTTTATCGTTTATGATCGCTTCTAACATGGTTAGTATATGGTAAGACATACTGTATATGTTACACCTAACACACATTTACAATGCAACTTTGTGTGGCACAGTTATAATGATCACCGTTAAAGGTTTTGGTTCATCTGTATGAAGCTGGTGTCGGATATTTGAATTGTTTCTTTTTTAATGCTGCTGTTTGGTGTTTGGTGTTAATAACCATATAATTGATTGTTTAATAATTGACAACTGAACTGATTGTGAAAAGTAATCTAACAATTTGACCTCTGTAGAGGAAAACGTGTTGCATAACTTGTTGGCGTGACTATTAAAGGATGGTTTAATGTGCCAACTTGAATGGCCATGACCTGTAATGTAGCTCAGGGATCAAACTAATGATTTTGTTAAGTTATTTATTGACAGAAAAAAAACGCTGTTATATTGCCTTCGATATTCCTACTTATCCGCATCTAGACTTGGAAACGTAATGGATTTCTGAATGAAAAGAAGTCACTTGAAGTGACTCATTTGAAATGAAAAAGGCCATTTTGGTCATCGATTTAATGAAATAGCTTTTTAGGAATTGCTTACTTAGAAATTCCCTAAAACATTCTTGTCTTAATGTTCAACGTCATGAATTTGCTTTTGTTCAAACCCAGAAACCAGAGTTTCCCAGTACATTTCACACACAAATCACTTAAATATATTAATAACATTTTCAAACAATTCACAAAAAGGAGTAAAAACATTAATTAAAAAAATTACTATGACTTTTTTCAACATATGATTCTATAAGTTTACAATGACACTACTGTAAGTGTTAAAGTGTAAGAAAGTGGTTGTGCTTTTCTGTGTAAATGTATCCTTACATTCAGGTCCAGGGTAAAGTAAACACTGGTAAAAGGGAAAGTCCAACACTGAGAGTGGAACATGTATTTAATGTATTTTGTCCCTATATTCACAGATGTTTCAAATAAAGAAGATTTGTTGCATTGGTGCTGGATACGTAGGAGGCCCAACGTGCAGTGTGATCGCTCATATGTGTCCAGAGATCACAGTAACCGTGGTGGATGTCAACGAGTCCCGAATCAAAGCCTGGAATTCTGACACTCTACCCATATATGAGGTGTTGTATCAAAGTTGTTCAGTTCTTTATAAGTATAAAAGCTTTAGGTGTGAATCGGCTGTAAAACGTTCACTGACATGATGATTTGCTGTGTGTTCCCTCCTATGTGCTCCCCCAGCTTTGCATTTCAGGAACCTTTTTTCCTTTGTTTGTTGTTTAACCTTCATTACCATGTTTAAATAGCAGATGTTGCCCTGCCCAAACAGTTTTTTTACAGTATTGCTCAATCCTTCACTGAAGGCTAAAAGCAAAATAAATTAGTCCCAGATTTCTTTGCAGCTTCCCTACGTAAACCAATACCACAGGGTATTACATCATGAATTTCTAGTGGAAAGGCGGCCGATGACCAGTCAGAGGGAACTTTAGTGGTACATTTTTGTAAGAAAAACCCTGCGTCTCTGTGTACTCATTTGTTGACACACCCTTTATGTCTCATTTTTCTCTCCAGCCGGGCCTGAAAGAAGTGGTCGAGTCATGCAGAGGGAAAAATTTGTTCTTCTCCACAGACATAGACTCAGCCATCCGGGGGGCTGACCTCGTCTTTATCTCTGTGAGTACAAATGAAAACACATACCCTCCATATTTCTTATTTGAACATGAGAGAATTCACGTTATCTTGACACTACCTGGTTCGACCTGCCCCACAGGTTAACACACCGACAAAGACTTATGGTATGGGTAAGGGCCGAGCAGCCGATCTGAAATTCATTGAGGCGTGCGCTCGTCAGATTGTGGAGGTTTCTGATGGTTACAAGATCGTCACAGAGAAGAGCACGGTCCCAGTCAGAGCTGCAGAGAGTATTCGAAGGATTTTTGACGCCAACACCAAACCCAGCCTCAACCTACAGGTGAGCATAACAACATGTACCAAACTCCGTCACATGTGTTTTGTCATGTGTTTCTGAAGTCAAGTTGCTGCTTCAGGTGTTGTCAAACCCAGAGTTCCTCGCTGAAGGTACAGCCGTCAGGGACCTGAAAGAGCCAGACCGTGTCCTGATTGGTGGCGATGAAACCGCCGAAGGGCAAAAGGCAATCAGAGCACTGTGTGCTGTCTATGAACACTGGGTTCCTAAATCCAGAATCATCACCACCAATACATGGTCCTCTGAGCTGTCCAAACTGGTGAGTGTAAGATGTGGGCTTTTAAATATTTAACCGATTTTCATCAACATATTTGAAGAAAACACACTATAAATACAAAAAATAAATATAGAATAAATTGCATCTTCAAAATGTAAATATATAGAATAAATTACATCTTCAAAATTTAAATAATAAAAAAAAGTCAAATATGACCATGTGTCATCTGAACACTGTGTGTTTGTATGTACGTGTGCACGTGTGAACAGGCAGCCAATGCATTCCTGGCTCAGCGAATCAGCAGCATCAACAGCATCAGTGCTCTGTGTGAGGCCACTGGAGCTGATGTGGAAGAAGTGGCCAAAGCTATCGGCATGGACCAGAGAATAGGCAGCAAGTTTCTCAAAGCCAGTGTTGGTGAGTTGTGGAAAAACTTGACAACTTTTTTATTTACAGACCCATTGTTGATCACATGTGTCTGTTTCTATAATGATCTGACCAGGTTTTGGTGGAAGCTGCTTCCAAAAGGATGTGTTGAATCTGGTCTATCTGTGCGAGGCCCTGAACCTGCCTGAAGTGGCCTCCTACTGGCAGCAGGTAAGAACTACAAAAAGCTTGTTGTAAAACTGTTATGGATAGAACTTTATTGATCCCTCAGTATTGTCATTTTATTATAGTTTGAATCCGAATTTATAATATACTGGATAATTACCAAACATTACTGTTTTCATGCATTGATGTGGCAGAATGATTTGGTATCACTAAAAACATACAACAGAACATCAAAAATAGGAACTAACAAGTGAAGTCACCATACTTTTTTTTTAGTTCTAACAAGTGAAGTCACCATACTTTTTTTTTAGTTATTCCTTTTAATCAAACAAAAGTAACAGTTGAGATTTCATAATGTTGTGTTTGGTCATAGCACAGCAGCAAATTTTGTTTGCATGCCATGAAAAATGACTCTAAATGCAATGACTTGGTTGTATGACTACAATGGAAGGAATACGTCTAAAGAACCAACAGTCAGGATGACAGACCACGCCCCTTTGAATGCCACAGACATGAACTTGTACAAAGATTAGTTTGTATTAACACAGACAAAACTTTAGAAAAGGTTTTTAATTTCTTAATTTGCGTATTAGTTTTTTTCTGTGTAACAGTGTAAGCCTGTCATCATATGTGAGCTAAAAATATAAATACAGGATGTAGAAACAGGCCGAGCTCCTGTTCATGTTGGTGGTGCTGTACTTAAACTTGCACTTTTTACTGATGAGGAAATAAAAGACAGTGGTGTGGTTGGTCTTCAACTGCAGATTTACTCAGACATTCTGACCGGAGTTGTCAACAAGTTTGCAATGTGCTAACAAGACATTTACTGTCATGTGTTCCTAGGTGATAGACATGAATGAGTACCAGAGGCGGCGGTTTGCTCACAGGATTATCGACTGTCTCTTCAACACGGTCACAGGCAAGAAAATCGCTCTGCTCGGCTTCTCCTTCAAAAAAGACACCGGCGACACCAGGTACAGTTTGTTTTAGGTGAACTTTGTGTTTCTCTCTGAAGTCCCTGTGCGACTGTCCATCTGTTTAATCATAAACCTGTTGGTGTTTGCACGCAACGCCCTCGTTTCTTACACAACTGTGCTAAACTATGGCCCTGTTCAGGTGGAGACTTGACTAACCAGAGTCTGCCTTTATTGTCACAACCAGGGAGTCTTCCAGTATCTACATCTCTAAGTATTTAATGGACGAAGGAGCCAAGCTGTTCATCTACGACCCCAAAGTCCTCAAAGAGCAGATCATTCATGACCTCTCTCAGCCCAACATTTCAGAGGACAATCCAGAGAGAGGTGTGTGTTGGTCTGAGACTTTAAATGTCTTATTTATAAATAAACTGGTCAAGAAGGTGAGGCCTGTTTATATCTGACCTACTGGACAAAAGAAAGGGACAAGTCTGTCAGTCAGGTGTCCAACAGTTGTAACCGTTAACAGCAGTGTGGTAGTGAAAGGGTTTTTATTTATAGATGGTGGTACGGCTCAATCAAATAAATGTCCTTAAATGTACTTTTTAGTGTCTGATCTGGTGACCGTGACCTCTGACCCCTATGAAGCCTGTCAGAGTGCCCATGCCTTGGTCATCTGCACTGAATGGGACATGTTCAAAGTAAGATCAACTCCCTTTATGAACTCCATCCGCTCCACCTCTGACCCCTGTGTCTGATCTGGGAGAGTCTTTATTTCCACAGGAACTGGATTATGAAAAGATCTACAAGAAGATGCTGAAACCAGCGTTCATATTTGACGGTCGCAGAGTGTTGGATCACCTCCATGCTCACCTTCAGGACATCGGCTTTCAGGTGAGCACGTGGGAACAATCATTTAAAAAAATGTTCAAAACAAAAATGAAGGGCGAGGGCCAGCAGGTGTGACACAAGCTTCTTTTGTCTCTATGCAGATCGAGACAATCGGGAAGAAAGTGTCGACTCTGAGAATCCCCTACAGCGCTGCAGCTGTGGGTTCTCGCCTCGGTGCCATCGAACCTCCCCCCAAAAAATCCAAAGCCTAAAAGCAGCTTGACCACACCTCTCACATCATTAAGCCGTTCACTACCTTTTGTAGCTGGTCGACAACATTTGTCACTCTGACGTTAGTACATGTCTGCAAATCAGAGACATGACTGTCCCCTCCCCTGCTGTGAGTCACAGCAGTTTTTTTTAACTTCACCTCAGACTCTCTTTGATAAAACATTCCAAACGCTTGATCTTATCACCGCAAACATTTCTGTGCCAGTCCTTCAGTGATTTTACCGGTATTTACTGTGTAATCAAATATTTCAAAATTTTATAGTATTTTTTAAAGAGAATGGTATTTTTTCTAAGTCGTTTTTACTGTATGTTAATCTGTTTGTGTCCTCTATATCAGTAATGAATTACTTAAAGGGCCAATGCAATAAAAAAGTGTGTCCTTAATGTTTCTAATTCTTCAATGGATAAAAAAAAAGATTTGGTTACTTAAAGGGCCAATGCAATAAAAAATGTGTCCTTAATGTTTCTAATTTTTCAATAGATAAAAAAAAAGATTTGGAATTTTAATTTTAAACTTTTTTAATTCTTTAAATCAAGAGTACAGTTTCACTTTTCTCTAAATCAGTCATGGATTTCTTCAGTGAGGGTGGTCTTTGGAGGATAATCCATGATTAATCCAGATCCTTTGAGGTAAATATAAACCAAAATGGTTAAATAATAATAAAATTACAACAGAAATATATATAGAACTTCCACAGAAAAAATAAATTCTTGCATTACAATCCCAGTTACAACAGTCGTTAGCAGGAACCTGGCAGCCATGTTGTGTACATCTGTTCTCTGACCCTCAGATCTAAACAACAGCCTGTAATTAAATCATCATTGCTGGAACAACAGACATCAAAGTCCTAGTAAACGCTGGTCACTGTAAAAGGTCAGTGGGTCACTGCCCCCCGAGGGACAGAGTCAGCTGTGGATGTGGTTTAGGGCCTCAGTCGATGCCCTCACTTTTCTAAGAGAAATTTACACCTAAACATCAGTGTTTCCCACTTTTCAAAGACAAAAAAGCCTAGTGGTCTATCCATAAACACAAAAATACAAGTGATCTGAAAATAAAAATCTTCCTTTATTTCTTTAATTGTAATATGCATTATTGCCACATAATCCTTCCAACTGTGTCTCACTTTTTGAAAGCTCTCAGTAAAATTGCACATGATGAAATTAATGTTAAATAAAAATGTTGAAACGACAAGAGTCAAAACATTTTGACTCTTGTCCCCACCCCTTTCCCCCTCCGGCACCAACCACTCTAACAGAACATCTGTGTTGGTCCCAGCAGTCTCTGGGAATGACGGGTCACATGACTGCAGGCCACTAACGGCCATTCTTCTCTTTCATCTCTGCGTTGTCACAGGTGGGTCAGTGAAGTAGACGCTGCAGTGATTGAACCACTGATTACCAGGATTGAGATAACAGAGTTATTCCTGTGGTTTTTACAGCAGAGCTGAGATTGTAGCCCGGGCCGTGGTTCAGCTGTTCTATTATTCTTCCTTGGTGACCGCTGTTCTTCTCTTCTTCAGGAGATTCTTCAGGAAGAACTCACCTGTTTAGCACGATTTAAATATAAATGCAGACATTCTCTACAGTGGTGACACAATAAGGTGAGCATATTCATGTTAAAAACATACTTAATATTGTATACAACTTATGCATATCATTGTACAAACTGCCCATCTATAATCTCTCTCTCCACTTGTACGATTTTATATTTAACTTTCACTTCTCCCTCGCTCTTGGTGACTAAAGACTGTTGTAATGTTGGCCTTTTTTGTAACATTTCTGTCCATCCCTGACATTCCTCTTTCCTTTATCTGTTGCTGCACTTTGTACAAAAAACCCCCAGCCTTCTATACCTCGGAGTCCACTACCATCTGTGGATCTTAATTGTTCAACAATGACTAATTAATTAGTGTGATCCCTTCATGTGAAAAGAGACATTTTTATAATCAGTTTTATATTAGTTTATAGTTTTTATATTATTAAATTATAGTTTTATAAAGAAATGTTTTACAATACAAAACATTCTTATAATCCTCAGGTGTTTCTGAAAGTCCACGGCTCCACGAAATGTGTCGATGTGTAAAATGTCTGTTGACTTTCTCACCTGCTTTGTAGGAGGATCTCACCAGTGGCCCACTGGCAGTGTAAGCAAAGCCCATATCATTTCCGACCTTTTCCCAGTAGCTAAACTTCTCCGGAGTGATGTATTCATCCACCTTCATCCAGAAACAAGCAGTCCTTTTATAAATGAACTCCAAAGCTCTTTTATTTGCTTTCATAGTGAATTAACATTGAATCTGTTGTGCTCACCTTCAGGTGGCGTTTAGTGGGCTGCATGTACTGGCCCAGAGTCAGACAGTCCACTTCTGCCTCTCTCAGCTCTGCAATGTCAGCACAGAACAGGAAATTGTAGTAGTTTACATCACTGTACTGTAGTTTTGTGTGTGTGTGTGTGTGTTGCTCAGCACACCAGTTAAAGTGTTGTGTATCTGTTGGTCACTCTCCCCCAGTCCGAGCATGATGGACGTCTTGGTGAGCAGAGCCGGGTTGACCTTTTTAGCGTGTTTCAGGACACTCAGAGACTGGTCAAAGTTGGCTTTTGGGTCTCGCACAAACCTGACAACAAATAAGACAGAGACGCCCCGAGTCACACTGACTCTGATCCAACATACACAGTTTATGTGGAGAAACCTCTCCAATGGGTTTAACGTACTAACAGTAGGGAAACGACTCCACCGCGCCATCTGCTGGTAGAATAAATATAAAATCTGTTTCTCTCCTGTGACTTCTCATTTTTTAGCTGGTCGTTTACCAAAGTGACGTCAACTACACATTGACATGAGAGGATGTGTGTGTTTCTACTTTTGTCTGTTTTATCAAAGTGACAATCAGACTGCTGAATCTTGTATTTGACGTACCTCTGCAGTTCTCTCACAGTCTCCACGTTGTGGGCATAAACATCTAACCCTGACAGGGCCACTCTCTCCACTGCTGCCAGGTCACCACGGAAATCAGGGGTCAGACATTCCACCAGGAGCTTAGGATTCCTGAAAGGAGGAGAAGGAGGTAAAGGAGTCAAAGAAAGTAAATTCTACATATAAATGTTGCCTAAACGTGAATGTTAAAATATCAGGCGGAAAGATATTTTTTATATACCGTTCTTTTATGTTAGAAACTGTTTTTGCAAAGTGCTCAGCGCCACCATCAGCAATGTCTGCACAGAGAAGGAAAAAGTCATTTTTATGTGTGTGTCATAATGAAGTTGTGATTGATACATTCTTCCTGTTGTGGTTCAGGGACATGCTAAAAGTCTTTGCTGCACCAACATGTAAAGGTGTGGTTGTACTTGCAGTTATTACAGCAGGTTGGCCAGTGGAGGCAGCAAAGAGTGAAACTGTGCCAGTTCTGAGTAAAACCATGTTTTTGTCTATGTGATGACTCTGACCAGTGTCTCTGGACTGATATTTGTTCCTTCTAGAAAAAATTCAAAAACCTTTACCAAAAAGCTCAGGTCCTGAATTAACTGTTGAACAGGTTGATCCTAAATCCCAATCCCAAAATTTACAGGATTAGGTGGAT